ATTAAACAACAAAATAACCAAAAAGAATTGGCATCGAATATCAGAACTGGAAATTCACTATCTATCAGATTGCTCAACCAATTCAATTAAACTGTTCAAAATATCGTTCATGATGAGAAATACATCGAATCCAAAATAAATCAAATTGCTTAAATTGTGGAAGGTCAAGTATTCAGAGAGAATCCAATATTTATAAAAAATATCCTCAATGGAATAACTAGCTTTCTTGAAATGATATTTTCAATACTTCAAGACATAGAAAACTCGATGATTTCTCCAAGACTGGGAATAATGTATCCTAGCATCATGAAAACAGCTGACCTTCTCAATGAACTCAAATGCATTCAAAACAATTCGGCCAGTAATCGTTTACCTCTAGACGTCACCACAGAAAACGTGTTACTTCTAGAGAAGTTGGTGAAAATAGATAGTTATACATTCAATAATTGAATAATTTATATCTTGAATATTCCAATATAATTTCCGTCAGAATTCGATTTGTTCCACCTATTCTACATTTCTATTCCCGAAAAGAGTCAGTTCATAGTAATCATACCTAAAAATAAATTTTTGGCCATAAATAAGTTGTACTATGCATACAAGAGTGATGACTGTATGAGACTTGCACCTCAATCCTATTCCTGCGATGGAACGAAAATCCAAGAAATCCAAGAAGAGAACTCCTGAGAAATCCATATCCTGAGCCTGAAAAACGCCTCCACATGTCCACAGAAGTATGTCTCCATCTCTCACCCCATAGTCAGGAGACTCGGAGAATCTAATCAATGGGTGACCGTGATACCCAAAGAAGAAAATATCAAAATCAGGTGCCACACACAAGAATAAATTATAAAAATAAAAGGGACGACTTTATTCGAAATTCCAATTGGCTGCCGAATCACCACGCCACTGCTGAACATCAGTAACGAAGAAAATTTTAGTAGTTCCAGACAACCGATACTTTTTCCAAATATCGACTTTTATGCAGATGAACCAACCAAAGGAAACCTCGAAATTGACCTAGAAGACAACCAAGAAAACCAGCCGGACCTGTCTTTCATCTGAACATTCTACACTCCTAGTATCTGGACGATTATTTTGTATGGATCCGGAACCCTAATGATCGCCTTCATCAGCTATAAAGGAATCAAATCAAAATGGTGTACTAGGAAGAAGAAAAGACACGAACAAACCACGATGAATCTCTCAGATGTTCAAATCCCTCGCTAGCCCTCTGGATTTGAATCTCCAAGGGAAGAAGATATCTTATGGTTCCCATTGCCGATTCCATAAAAATGCTGATTGCGACAAGACAGCATATCGTCTTTGGTACATCATGTTTACAAGGTTATGAATATAGGTGCCAGTTGCATTCTCGGGAAGTTAGTCTGAATCTAGTTTTTGATCATGTCGAAATCAAGTCAGTTGTAGTAAAACGAAAATGAATCTTAGTAAGAAAGCACTTGGGCATTTCGAAAAGTTATTTCGTATCTGTATTCTGTACAGTAGCTTTCTACATTAAATAAAAATCCTAGTTCTTGTGAAGCAGCATTCGTGTGTCGTATACTTTTTGAATGTATTAATTATTCATAATTAGTATATGGTATCTCTGAGATATATTTTGGTCAAAAAGAATTGAACTTTGCAATCATTCAATATCGATGGAGGTGGTCGACACAGAGATATGATTTTGCGTAATGCATGATAGCCCATTTGAAAATTTTTGTCTAGGAAATCTATTATTGATTCGAATATTATATTATAAGTATTATTTTTATTGTAGAAATAAATGTTATCTTGTGATCATCTCCTTTCAATGAAGATGGGCGATATTCCTTATGATAACTCAGAAACGATTTCATATAATGTATGATAGTCCATTTTAAAATTTTTGTCTGACCATTTTTCTATCACTGTAATTATATTTTTTATATCTGAGGTGGAAAGAATGGTGGGTCAATATTTCAGGTGATGAATGAGATACGATTCATAAATGTTGAAATATCTATTGATTAACAAGTTTTCCCATAATAATTATATGTTATTCATGATCTGTCTGAAAACGATGGCACACTATCACTAGTTCATATTGATGAAGTTGGTCGATATTCAATCTGATAGGAAACGATAACATATATGATTTTTCACAGTATATGATAGTTTCTTCAAATATTCTTGTTGAAAAATGTTGTTGTCTAATAACTGACATACCATGTTGTTCATATTCTATCTGAGAAGAATGGAACGTCATCCTCATTTCATGTTATTGAAGTGATATTCCAAATGAGATGGTGACGTAACGTTTTCGTTACCCCCTAATAGTGATCAAAAAGTTGATAATCTTGTGAATATTGCGAAAAATGGAAATGATCTGTCGTAGATAATCGGTAGTCATTTTGTTCTCACAGTATCACAGTCGATGAAGCCCAATGGGACTAGGTTTAACTGTGTCTGAGTGTTAGATATTTTGATTCACCCTGTATATTCTGCGTCGACAACTATGTATTTGTTCCCATCTATTTTCTCAAAACTCTGGGTATAAGATCTTTTCAAACAGGATTCTACTCTTGACCTCATATTCATTTATCGATAAATTTTTTTGTGCGCTAGTTTCATAATATATATTATTCAGGTTGAGATTTATAGATTTCCCAGCTGTTCACCTCTTGATATGATCAAAGGAGATATACACTCTGTCCAAGATGCGGTTGCACAACATGGGGATCTCGGAAACGGAAGGAAATACGGAGTCGGTCAAATAGGGAAAATTCTCAAAATTGTTTTTAGTCTTTCAGCTATATCGAAAAATATGAATTTTCGGAATACCTATTTTATTTTTTTCTCCGTTATTATCAGAGATACAAAAAAACTGATAATACTTTTTCATAGCAAACTCTCATGATGTTCAACTCGGTGATGCGACGTTTCGTATTCGTAGAACCATCATCAATTCTTTTCCAAAAACAGTCCTGATAATTTTTTCACAGATTCTGAGAGCTTCCTACATTTTGAATCGAACCATGTAACATACAAGGTGGTATGAATGTGTTTCGACCAATTTTTGGTCATCATCAATGTTTTTTCAAAATCTCAAAGGGAAAATGCAATCAGTTACACTTATTTTGAAGGAAAATTAGTCAACACACTAATATCTCATCAACTGGTTCTAATCAACAACCCATTTCATTTCGCGGAAACAAAAATTTCATACATATGAATTTAGAATATGTCAAGCGCTTAGATCAGGCGTCAAAAGATTTGAAGATTTTCCTCGAAAGATCATCTGGACTGATGGAAGCATGGTGACTAATAATGGTATCTTCGATAAAAAAAATACACGTTATTGGTCACGAGGAAATGAACATTTATACAAAACAGCAAGACACCAACACCGTTTCGGCTCCAATATGTGGGTTTCAATATTTGGTACACGAATTTTTGGTCCTTTTATTCACAATGAAACATTGACTTACGAACGTTGAGGAAATTTGCTTGTGAATCATCTTGAGGAAGTTCTGGATAATTTACCGATTGTGGAAGTTGGCAACTGTTGGTTTCAACGAGATGGCGCTACGGCACATAATTCCAGAAAAGTTGGTGGGTTTCCATCCAGACAATTTTCCGAAGAATGAATTGGTACTCATCCTACAGTTCTTTGGAAGGCGCGATCGCCTGATTTGACACTGCTAGATTGTTTTCTTTGTGGATATATCAAGAAGTTTGTTTACGCAAATAACTTCGATAATGAAGAAGAACAAAGGGACAGTGTCATCGAAGTATTCAATAGTATTACCCCAAAACTGCTCAGTAATGTCTTGAAAGCAACTGTGAGAACAGGGTATCTGTGTTTAGAAAATAATGGTTATCATTTTGAACATTCCTTATGAATGTTCCTGTTGGTATCATCAAAGTTGAGTTATAAAAGTAATTCGTGTTCCTGACTTTTCTCAAGTTCTCGACTACTTCAATATACACAATTGCTCTCGTAAACAAAGAAAGCGTGCTCAATTCTGACATAAAAAAATTGGTTGGAATCTCGAGAAATCATTGTCTCAATTCGAACCCTGATGAATCATCGATAATAGTGTTTGGAAAGTCTGAAGATCATCGAAGGGCCATAGATAATATCAATTTACAAGTGGATGGACATACAGTAGAGTATACCGAGAAGGTGAAATGTCTAGGACTCCACATTGATTATGATCTGAGATTTGTTCATCATGTATGTCAATACTATCACGGAAAGAACATACAGCCTATTGAAACACCTTTATTCAAATAGACATTACATGAGTAGGACCCTAGGAACAATGGATACATTAATTTTATCTGCTTTTAACTACTGTGACATTGTCTATGGCACATGTCTTGATTCAACAACATCAGCAGAATGCTTGTGTCAGAATAATATAGAGCTTGAAACTTTGACACCATGTTAGCCCCACTATCAACCAGATGGGATTGCTGAAAATGCATAATAGGAGGAAACTCCACTCCGCTTCTTGTTTGCACAGGCTGATAAAAAATCAAGAACCCTCCTTTCCAACTGAAAAATTATCACCTAGACATCAAATGCACCCAATCAATCTCAGGAATGTGAGCGATTTCAATTTCCCATATTATAGGAGTACCTACTCTCTTTGAGCGATCTTTTACGCACTATGCCGTAACCGTGTGAAATGGACAAACAGTTATCTCTCCCACATTTCGAAAACAGGATTAAAGACAGTCTCCTGAGTAAGCAGTGATCTTACCTGATTTCTAGTTCTAATAATAAATTCATATGTAAACTATACTATAATGATGAGTGCCATGTATAATTAGTTTTTTTCCTTCCGATCGTGGTTGAGTGGGAGAATAGCTGTATGCTTAACTCCGCCACGTGAAATAATTCATTATTATTATTATCATAATAATGATTGGATTTTTGTTGGAAGTCACATTATTATCACAACTCTATTTGAGCAGATCATACATTATGATACTGGTTCCAGACTCACCTCAATTTTGGCAACTCGCAATATACCCATTCGGAAACATCCTCTTTTGGTAGTTCACGATGTGTCGAAGTCAAGTCAAGCTTGTTTCCGGCCACCACGATAGGAATATCTTGAAAATCCCCTCTTTGCTCTCTTATTTCTTCGAAACATTGCTTGATGCATTCTAAAGATGGCGCAGATGTCACTGCGTACACTAGAAGAAACGCATGTGCAGTAGCTATGCAAAGCCTACGCATTGCAGGAAACTGCATGTCACCGGCAGTGTCCAAGATGTCAACTTTCAACGTCATATGCCCTAAGTCATATTCCCGGCTGTACAAATCTTCTATGGTGCTACGGTACCTGCTGGTGTACGTGTTGCTGAGGAATCTTTTGATTATTGAGCTTTTTCCTACACCTGCACCTCCAAGAATCACCAGGCGCAGTCGCTCAGAATCTGACATTGTCGTTTCGTTGTTACTCATTCATCACTTCATCGTTTCTACAATCAGTTGGTCGATGAAAATGAATGCGGGATTTTCATCGGTTTTGTTGTGAATCTTGCGAATGGAAATGGAGTTTAGTCACATGCGGCACATTCAGCTCCAGGTATTTAGTTTACCCATGTTAATTCAGGTTCTATTCCATTCGTTCATTGATTATTATACAGCACTGCATGTGACAGGCATGCGATTATTTCGTCGAAAATGTTTGAAAGCAGAGTAATTATAAACTGTTTCGAATCTCTATGCTTCGCCCCAGTGAGTTATGAGTAGTCAAAAACAGAGTTGATAGATGATGAATGTGTTCCTTAGTGGGTAGAGTTGATTATTCCAGATATGCCGAGATTGGTATCCATCGATGACCATATACCTGGAACAATATTTATATTGAATATATGTTACTGCACAAAATTTGAAATTCAGTTAGAGTTGGGGACAAGTTCGGAAATAGTTGAATCAGTCTTTCAGGACACCCGTTCAAAAATGTCTATATTCGGATAGAAATTTCCACACATAAGGAACTAGACTACAGCTTCGAATAACTGGAAATTATTTCGAGACAAGAATTCTAACTTTACTTGAAGCGATAGTGATAGTCGGTAACAAAATCTCACACCCAGATTTTATGAGAAATTATAGGATGATGACGGTTTCTTCTCGGATATCCTCATTTTGGTAATCGAAATCCGAGCTAATTTCAAAGTCCATTCGACGTGAAAATAGTTATTCATACACCAAGGTAGTTGAGATCATCCATTATTATCCAGGGACCATGAAAATACCCCTCGACTGAAGCCTTGAAGTATAAGGCCCCGTGGTAGATACTCGAATACACGATACGTTGGTATCGAATGATTCGTCTAGATACGGCTAGCTGATGCTTAGTATTTTCAATGCGTTCTGGGATTTTCATATGAATTTTTTCATTCTCTACGAGTGTGGGTTTGTGGATACAGATTTTCAATATCCATTTTTCACATTTCCTCTCTCTTTAGTTTGTGGCTTGTAACGGGTTGCAATGTTTATAGCTGTTTTTTTACCAGAGTTGTTAACAAATTGGTTTAGGCTGTTCACCCTCAATTAAAGGATGTGCAAATTGAGATAGATTTTTAGTTACAAAAATAAGTGTTTAAAGTGCCTGATTATAAACAGTAGAGATCAAACACTGACTAGCTCAGTGGGACACTGGGGTGAGTAAGGTTGGTAGGGTGGAATTATAGCCATAAATTTGACTGTATCCTTTACTGAATATAGTTGAATATGGTAGTTATGACATAAGCTGCTAACTACGTAGACAGCACTAGAAAAACATTTCCATCAAGTAAATAGCAACAAAATATGTAGGTACCTCAGCATATATACCTTATGAAATATAATGACCCCCCTTATTCATGAATTTAGACACAATTATGTTGAGGTCTGGTTTCTTCCAGAACAATAATAATTCACCAATGTGATCACCATGGTTTACAGTGGTGAGTGGAAATTCAACAATTTGATACTCTTATTAATTATTGAGGTCAACATTACACATGGTCATACAGTACATAGATCCGCAGGAGAAATGTTCAACTTGAAAATCCTTGGTGGTAGGTAATTCTTGAATGAAGATAAAAATGGGGCAGTCTTACCAGATTGCAGGTATTTTCTGGCAGCTACACCATATTAGGTACATACATATAGCTGGTGATACTATAATGAGTGACTTCCAGTGCTTGGGCTGCTTCCAGACAATGCAGTGCTACTGGTGTCAGGTTGTTTAGACAGGAACTACTGGGTCAGTGTAATGCTTGGCATAATGCAGCACCAGACAGCAGTCTGATAACAGGGACAACTGAAGACATCTTGCAGGAACATCGTCAAGAGAAGAAGCAAAAAGACCAAAGTGAAGTAGATAAAAGAAAGGGAAAAGAAGAAGTCCTAAAACGAAAGAAATATCACTTACAGGATTATATTCCAAGCCTAGTGAACCTGCATAGCACATGGTAGTACAACATACCTTGGATGGTGGGCGGGCTATCGAGTAGGCCGGTTGAATGATGCTAGTAATCCCCTTATAGGGTATTTCTTTCCAAGACAGAGGAAACGAAATGTTGCGAGTTGAAGACCTCCAAATAATCCCACTAGCTGTGGATTCCGTTCACAAACACGGTACAAATTATGGAGCTCTTCCTCGGCACCAATGCAACCAGACACACCTTTACAAAATGGTGCCCTTTTCAGGCTTGAGACTTGTAAGTCCTCCTCACACATTTTTTTGTACCCCATAAGCACGTCATTTCCCATCGTGACGGTGTACACAAAAAAATACGAAATTCAAATAATATATTGGGTATAACTCCCCATTTCCAAGCAAAATTACATCACTTTGTTACGATGTAGGGCATCTTGAGACGCCGTTATGACACTGAGAAAACCCGGGAAAATATCGGAAACATCGTTACGAACCGATATTCGTTACGAACGATTACGAACTTGAAACCACCCAGGCCTGCGCAGTAGCGTTCATACACATTGACATAGAACACAGAATACTAGTTCAGAAAACAAAGAGTCGAAAGCGAAAGAAGAGGTCTCTTCGAGTCCAGAAAACAAGGAGTCGAAAGAGAAAGAAGATACCTAAGATAATAGCGACGGATACCAAAGCACCACCGTGGTATCAACCAAGGGTCGACTCACTTGACGAATAGTCTCAGAACTTTACTATCAGGCTTTAAGAACCGATTCACAACTTACTGCTGGCCAACCGTATAACTGACAATCAACTCGATGTTGGACACGCCAGTAAACTCACTATGACGTCATGACCAAAACCACGGACCTTGAATACTGTAAGCCAACGATAAGTAATCCGCCGTGTAACACCGAATTGACCCGAAGTTGAGGAGACTAAATAGTAATAAGTCGACGGTCGATTCACACCACTGTGTGTTCTGTGTTTCGTGCCATTAGACCAAAGGTGTCAGGTGTCAGGTGACAGGTGACGATGTCGACAGTCGACACTCAGCTGATACAGATTTGACAATACACAAAGATTATATAAGCAGTGAAATTAACCCTCCACTAGATAATATCACTCAATATCTTATTTCCAAGAAACCTATGAGGAACAGGGCTGAATTACAACTTACAAGTAGTAAGTATTCCAGACTCAAAGCAATTTAGGTGTAACAAACATTACGTAAATGACACGACATGGAGTTCCATAGTACTAAAATGATAATAAAATATCATCATTTCAGATTATCTTCAGCCAGGAGAGAAGACAAGAAGCATAATCATACCCAAATAACTACCTGGTTTCCAGATATAAATCCATTGAAAAATGAGAGCGAACAAAACCCTGAGGTGAGTACCTTTCCACCACAATCATGGTTTGTCATGCCCATATCAGACTGAGAGTGATATTTTCGTTTAAGCTACTAATAGCAGGATCGAAGGTAAACAAAATGTGGAATGCAGAGCCGAGAAGAATGACAGTGTGAGACAAGATACCCAGTACCAATTGAAGACAGCACTCGCAGCAAAAGACCGAGAGCAAAGCTGGGAACCCACAGAATGAACTCTTTCAAAATTTAGTAACAAATTGTTATTATTGACCTGATCCGAATGAATGACTGTTGATGTGTCTCAAGTAAGTGATACAGCCGTTTTCAACTAAGTTAAATTTGAATTGTAACAGGCTACAGATAATTTCATTCTACTTCACACATTTCCAGGATATTTGGGTTTTTTGTTCTCTGATGATTGTATTCTACTTTGCTGAATTCCTGTTTCTCTATCGTGATATCACCGTATCAGCAAACTGTGGTTTACGCTATACTTCAACAATTTTTATAGTGGAATTCGATGTTTCTATGATTTGAGAACCTCACAAGCTGTGGTTATTCTGTGGGATATCTCCAGACTCTGCAAGTACTATGCGCTTGGTATGATAGGTGTCGTAGAAAGAGTATAGTATACTATTTGCGCATCAGTATTCCTTTCTCTACTAGCCTAAGCGTTCGGCTGAGCAATAAATCATAGCATCTATACTTAACGTCATCTGTCAATAAGCGCCTTTTTGAATCGATAGCCATTTTTGATGACCTGAGGTCTGCTTTCGTTGAGCATCGAAAGTGTCGATTGTAATAACATGTTGGCCGTATGCTCTCAATGAGCTCTGCCAGGCCATATACACCATCCAATTCGTATGCCATTCTGAATCGGTAGCCATTTTGATGTGGCGTACGTCAGCTGTTGAATGTTGGCTGTATGCGTCATATACGTCAGACATTTCTTATGTCTTTAGGAATTGCCAGCCATTTTAACTGTACTGTCACTCCTTCCTTCGTCGATATATACACGCGATTCTCTGAGCTCCAAGAGAAATAAGCTATAAGTTTGTTAATTTAATTCGAAGAATATTGTTTTGCATATCGAGTTGTGCAGATAAAACTACCGAATCCAAAAAAAACAATCAGTGAAGTATATTAGTTACTACATGAACGCATATTCCAAAAAAACTGTGAATTCCTGTGTTAATGATCGCCGCGAAAGAATTGTGTGAAAAAAGTTATCTGCTACGATAAATTTAAGCCGATACCAGTTTGGAGAACAGGACTGGACTTGGCTCAAATGGCAGGACGCTCCTTCAAATGCTGCAAAACTAAGGACTTCTCCAATTATTATTGCATCCAATGCTTAGGAATTTTTCACCCTAAATGCTTGGAAAAAAAGAAAGACCATGTGGTGGTGAGTGGCCATAAAATTCTATGTTCGACTAAATGTGCCCAAGCACAAGAAAATGATCATGAAGATCAAATAAAGGAACTTAAACATGAAATCGAACAATTGAGAAATGACTTGAACGAGAAAGAGTCTTACTTGAAAAGACAGATAAGATTAACACAAGACTTTGAATCTGAAGTTTTTGAAGCGGAACAGAGTTATACAATACAAATAAAAGAACAATTGCTGATTATGGCAGACACTAGTAAAAAACTTAATGAACAAACTTCGAAAAACGAGAAAATTCTAGAAGAAATTCGGGAGTTGAAGAAATCTCTAGAAAAAGCTGAAGAAGACAAATCTGAACTGGAAAGCATAAGCCGAAACATGGTAACATCCATTGACACACTCTCTAGGGAGAATGAATCATACAATGACGAATTAATGAAGCTTAGACGTGAAGTTATGGATCTAAGGGATTTCAAGCTAACCACCGAATGTGAGAATGGAATGTGCAATGAAGATCCCACCTTGAAAAAGAAAACTGACTGTAGTTCACAAACAGACGCTCATGCTGAAGTAAATGGATCGAAGGAAATAAGTTTCGAATTTGAACAACAACAAATTCAGCTAAGTAAACCACAAAACATAATTTATGAA